AATACCACAAATGGCGCGGTAAACGCCATCTATAGTACGATGCTACATTTTAGGATTACGTATGCTCCAACAAGTTTTGTTTGTTTTCCTTTTTCTTCTTTGTATTAAAAATTCATATTTACTTCCCGAAAAACGGTTCATCATTAAGAAACTCGACGCTATCTAAAGTTAATGTAAACAGGATACGATTTAAGCATCCTCAAAAATGAAGCCTTAATATACATATTTCAGATGCAAATGTTCGACATTGTGCAAAAGTGAAGCAAAATCAATTTCTAATTAGGGTTTCACGCTGAGACGATGACATTGCGTAACGCGACTGAATCTTTTGGAAAGTGACATTGATGGCGTGATGTAGCAGACTAGAGAACTCCGGGCGGGCAAATAATCGTTGTCTAGACAATATATTTCAATTAAGCAGGCGCTTTGAGTAAATAGCGACAAGTAGTCCGCGCCACGTTGTCACACTGCTACTATCGCTCTAAGCTGACTGATGCTATTTGTTATTTACACCCCGGAGCAGCCGAAACAACCCTAGCCGTGTATGCACGCTTGTTCGAGTGGTTACAACGAACACGAGGATAGTACGTGCTTTTTTAACGTACTTACGCTTAGGTAAGTCCGCTGAGTAAACGGCTTTTAAATTGAACACCAAATTGAAAGAATTGAGTGCCCGACTGATACAATGTTTTAAGCCATACGCTTTAGCATTATAGGGACCTGAAACGACGAAGTTGGTCCAACTGCTCAAAATACCAATTTATACCAATAACTTGTGTGTAGGGTTCCTAGATAAAAATGTTCAGTCTCTCAGAGTCTCTGAAACCGAGACTCGAATCTCCGTCTCTCATCGAGTCTCTTTAGCGTCTCTGAACGAGAGTCTCAAGTCGCTCATAGAGAGATCCTCATTTCGTATTCAGTCTCTGAACGAGAGACTCGAATCTGTCAATAAATGGTGTCTCGATAGACATGGTTAAAATTTTCTAAGTTCAACATATTTCAGAGATCCCAGTCTTTCTACGAGAGACTCGAGTCTCTCAATTTTTCAGTTTTATTCATTCAGTCTCTCTGCGAGAGACTCGAATCTCTGAATTAACAATTTTATCGTTCGAGTCTCTCATACAGAGACAGTGAGAGATCCATAAAAACACCTAGGCAATAACTGAGAGATTGTGAAAGACTGTGAGAGACGCTGAAAGACTGTGAGAGACTTAAAATTTTGGGGGTAGTAATAGGTTTTTAAGGGTAAATACCCAAGCAGCATCAAAGTTGCGGTAACTGAGATAGGAACTTTGAATAAGTAGTTATTACGGCAATTATCACTTAAATAGTTACTTATTAGTTTTCATTACTTTTATTTAGACAGTTTGAGTAAGTACATAGTAATTATCACTACATAATTGAAGTTTATGGTTTCAGTATTTCTTAGTAGCTCCTTAAGTTTGTAGAACGGAATTATTATTGTGCAAAATTACGTTAAAGTCACGTTATTTAAAAGTTATATTCAATTGTCGCAATTACTTAGTTGTGTTACTTCTTCATCATTTGAAAGTTTTTATTACTTTATAGTAGCGGTAGGTAAAAGTAACTTCTACATCTTTGCGACTTTAGAAATTCCTTCAAAGTTACGGAACTGTGTAGTAATTTTTATGGAGAAATTAACTGTCCCGCTACTCGAGTGAACCAGTACATGGTAGGTTTTACTTTCCACTTCGTTTCAAAATTACTGCAAAGTTCCAATTACCCCAAAAAGATACTTTAAAGTAACTATGACTTCTATATTTTAAGTTTGCGGAATTCCGGCCGGAAGATGATAAATACATCACATCTAGATTTCTCTGTATAAGAACGGATATTAAGCTCTGTCTGACATTTGAAATAAAAAAAAACTTCTCCAAACTTATTTTTATACAATAAAATATATTAGTCTGTAATACTGAGCTTTCTGTTAATATTCTTTTCATTATTAGTCGTACATATATTAATAATGGTAATTTTCATGAAATATAGATACATTAGCTACATAAAATATTTTTATACGCCAAAAAAATTAAATTTCTATGAAACTAATTTTATTTTTTGTTTATTTCAGGACAGTGTTCTTCAGAGGAAAAGGTAAGTGGAGATTCTACATGCACTTGTTACTTTATGTTTTGATGCACATAACGACAAATTCGTTAGTTGGTAATACTTTGTAAATGAATTCTTGTAGACTGAATATGACAACTTTATAAACGAAAAACAATACAGTGGTTAGCTGATTTATCCTTAACATAGGTTAACCTAAACTAACCGTATAGTTGTAAGGTTAAACCAATAAATAAAATAAGAAGGATTTTTCGTCCTATAACTTAAGCTTGAAATCGATACCAATTATTTTGCATGCAAATAACTTTACCGTATTACAGTCGATATTAGTTACAACAGGTAAATATCATAATCGATTAGTCGACTAAAAGTAAACACTTACCGAACAATCTTCTTTTAATCTTGTCGATTTCGATTTGAAAACGGATGCAGTACATTTCGCTTCTTCGAACGACTCCTTTTTGATATCGTAATATCCTGGTCCAGGCAAGCATATAGCATCGCCAATATTTAATGTATCCCTCTCGGCAAGGGTACCAAAGCCCACTTCTACTAGAGAATATTTGTTGAATATCTTATCCATATTCTGGTCCACAAACCCTTTAATTTCGTAATGACCCGGACCTTGCAAAAAAATTAAAAGAATTTTCTTAAGTTATGGGAAATTTTGAAATAAATTTTAATATAATTAATGGACTGTTGATCTGAATCTGAAATCTTAACTTCTAAAATTATGCAAATAAAGAAAGTCACGCTGAAATAGCTTATTTTACCGAATTACCTGGTGCGTTATCCGTATGTTTAGAATGCCATCGGTTGTCCTTTACAGCAAATGGAGCACAAATTGTAGAAAAATGCTTTTTATTGTAAACGTCGCTAGTAACGTTATATTGACAAGGTGCAGGAATTCCATCTTCTTTTTTTGACTTCAATCGTTCGGCTCCGGATATAAATGGTTTGGGTTCCACACTCTTTGCTCTGGGATCGATTTTAAACCACTTTGTTGACACATCGTATTCTGCAGGTCCTGGTTTATCCTAATTATAATTGAAAATCATCTGTTAATTTTTAATTCTTAAATTTTTAATTTGCTTGTCTGTGTGGAAAATTGGGAAATTTTCTCTTCGATCTTTTAAAGGAACAAAACGTATTAAGGCGATTCAACCCTGTGCTGTTCTTTGCTTTATATCCCTACTACTCCTTTCATCCTGACTTCCTAGATTTCCTAAAATCAGTCACCTCTTCTAATTTTTCGTCTCCTATCATTATATTCGCTTTTTCCTAATTTTTCTTCCCTTGCAAACTAGTAGTTTTGTTTTNCATCAGCACGCTGTAGACAGTTCCAACAAAACATCGACCAATTTATTTCCTCCCTTTAAACAGCGTTTACCGAATAACTGCAAATTACCTGGTGAACGCCATCGATTGAAACTTCTTACTAATTGTGACTTCATTAATATCTGACAAGGTCCTTTTATGAGTAAGGATATTGACTTGTCAAACTGAATTGATTAATTAAAGATTGGTACGTATACCTTACAAAACAATGGCCCTGGGTCAATTATCTGTCTTGCTATAGAGAATACGTTGTTGTAGGTGCACCGGATAGTGATTTTGCTTAGTGTCAGATAACCGGGTACTAGCCACTACAATTCTGATTCATGCATTCGTTTTGGCAGACTTTCTATTAAATACTACCCTTACCAACGTCGCAAACCACATTAAGTTCCGTTCAAATAGTCGTTTAAATATCAAACCAATGAAATTTTAATTCTTAATCGGTGGATTTTCAGCGAGAGGGTTGAGTTGAAACCGCGTTGAAACGAGCCTATAATGTTTATAAATGCTAAAAATCTGCGTTAATCAAAACCTAATGTACCAATAAACGATAACGAATAATTTAATGTAGTAATTGACAAATAATATAAATTAAGACGAACGACCTATCCGATACAATCTAAATTACGAATTGTCATTAGGTAGGTTTTTTATTATACTTCGTCATCATCATAAGGTCCTAAGACTGGTTTGACACGCACGTCCACTTTTTCCTATCATGAGTTAATCTTCGCATTTCCCTAAAACTAGAACAACCCATAACCTAATCTAGGTCTACCTCTACTCTTCTTAAGTCCTTTTTCTGTCTCTAATATGTCTCTGACTACACCTTCACGCCTGAGAATATGTCCTACCAACCTATCTCGCCTATTTCTTATTGACTTCCATAGAATCCTCTGTTCTCCTATTCTTTCTAATACCTCTTCATTTCAAACCTTCTCTATTCACGGTATCCTCATCATTCGCCTATAACACGACATTTCGAACGCTTCTATCCTTTTCTTATTGCTGGTGTTCTTATTTCTCTGGTAGAATTGCCAGATGCAGATCTTTATTCGGATCCTAAAAAAAGTACCGGATGCGCCTGGTACTGGGTCCAAACCGGGTACCCGGTCCATCCCTGTTACATTGTATTTTTTTTCACGTTTAAACGCCGGTGCAGTTGTCGGTGACGGTGTCCGATGAGCTCTGTTTCGCTCGTCTTAATTAGAATAAAGCGGCGGCGAGCGCGTTTTGCATGTTTCCCACTGTTTATGAGGGGCATTTCTCACTCAAATTAAGCGAACTGAAATACCAGGCAGACGCCCACGCGGCTCATTAAATAACACGCGTTTCCTCTTCTTCAATTCGTAAATTAAACGCCTTGACATCCATCGCAACATCGAGAGTGAAGATGCACGACGGACTCGACGGTCACGTTGCAATAAAAAAAAGTGACGCTATTAAAAAAGCCCGACGTAAATGCGAGCGTGAATGATGTACTTACCTGCAAGCCAGATGGACACATCGAACCGAAGATGGTAGGTAAACATCAAGACTAATTAATAATAAATTCCGACATGTAAAATGCATATCTAACCGCGAATGTTATAACGTATACAGGGTGGGTCGAAAAATGATTTACTTTAGTAAGCGGTCTACCGATAGCAGTTGTGCGGTCTATCGTTACGGATTTGTTTCATATTTCTAAATGTACAATAAGAAGGGCACGACGAAGGTAATACACACTTCGTTCATGTTGTCTTTTACTATAACAAGCTTGAATCGTCTAAGCTTTAATCGATTGTCCCAGTAGGAAAAGACAACACGAGCGAAGTCATTATCGCTATGGTTATGTACTTAGAGAGCGTTATTAATCGTTCTTTCTTGTAAACTGCATAAATAATTATCCAAGTGCAGATATTAGGCCACAATATTAAGGTATAGGCAGAGGTAGACCGTCTACTAAAATAAAAAGTTAAAAGTGCGAAATGATTGAAATATCTTAGTTACGTAGAAAAGTCAACATCAGTACTTTGCCTATATGTACAAACATAAACTAAGGAGTTAAAAGCGGGAATCATCCCCAATTTTCCATACCATACAGAAGCCAAGATCCTAAAATAAATAACCTATCCAATAAAAAAAGATGAACGAATCGCGTAACATTCAAATTGAAAATCTCCTCTTTTTTTTTAAATCAGTTAAAAAGTTAATTTTTACGAAAATTGTGCAGAAATTTGTTTCGTCATACACATTACCTATACACAAAATGGAACACCCTGTATTGGTACAATTTTGCTCATAAATATATGTACGAATATTTCACTTTTTGGTTTTATAAAATGTTATATTTACTAAACTTTCCAATTATAATTTTAAATAGCTAACTTACTGTTTATTTTGAATTTGAATAGTTGTGGAATAAATATAAAATCAGTTCTGGGTGGCCCATCTAGAGGTATAATTTGTGATTAGTTGTTAACGGTTGTTGTAAACTGTAATTATTGTTTAGAGCAAACCTCTAATTCGCTTGGTGTGTTCTCAGATGGAGACGC